AAAATCAGGAACTGGTTCAGGCAAGGGCTGGGGGAAAAAAAAAGTAAGAAAGTACATTTTTTTTAATTTGAAAAAAATGGATGAATCAGAATAATCAAATGGCATTTTAGAGAGCTAATTTAAATGAACCACTTTCCTTTGGCTTCCTATCAGCACCAAGATTACATTCTGAAACAGAGGGCCTTCCTGATTGGCAGTCTCCAAGTATTGTAGCGATGGTATTTAATTTTTGAAAAATTTCAGTGCTTTGATTTTATAAATTACAACATCTTTCCTTTCGAATGTCTATTTCCTTAATGATGCTAAAAACTCCCATTAACTTTTTTCCCCCTTAATGGAAGCACTGGGGATTGAAGCCAGGACCTCATGCATGCCAGGCATGCACTCAACCACTGAGCTATACCCCCCAAACTCTCATTAACTTTTGTTGGGCCTTAGTCAGAGGGAGAACAAACTGTTGCAAAAACGATGTCTGTGCTGCTTATGAAGGAATCATTCATTCCCAGTCACAGGAGAGTACAACAAACATGGGCATCTGGGTCACTCTGACTTTTGGAGGGAGTTCGCCATAATCCACTGTAGCTGTAGGATCCCATGGAAGGAACAAAAGTTTACTTTTGAGCTCCACCAGATATTTTTGTATTAAATAGTTTGTTTCATGCACAGAAAGATATTTATCTTTCTCTCTCTCTCATATCTAGCTCTTTCCCGACTTTTATTTTCTTGCATTGCTCACCAAGGATCTCTGATGTGATATTGTGAAAGTGATATCTAGGGCTATTGGATCCTGGTATATATTAAAAAAAAATACTGTTTGTATTTCTGATGATAAATTTGCAGGTTCTCAATCTTTCATCATGGGAATAAATTATCATCAAGAATAGTGGGCTCTTCGCTCTTAGATTTTATTCAGGCTCTTTTAATAATTAATGGTAGGCAGATGTAAACATTAAGGATGTAATTATTTTTTTTGTTAAATTAAAACAAATCATCCCAGGTCATTTGGTCAGAGAGCTCTGTGTGTTACTCCATAAAATTGGACTTCTTTCTGAGTGTGAGTTAGGGAACTCTCTGCTCCTATAATTTATGACGTATTTTGCTGTTGGAACTATGCTCTTGTGAGATCAAGCATTTGTCATAAATCACAAGAAAAAATAAATCGAGAAACTCCTTACTGTGCGATAGAAATCCTTTATTTTTTACTGGTTGTCCATATTATATTTCTTCAATGTAGAGGGTAATATTTAAAGGAAAAAATTGAAGACCACTATCCTTATACCTCCAGCTCTGAGCTTTTTACTTTTGGTCTCTGGGCATTTTATGACCTGCCGTCTTCAGAATCCCAGCTTTTATATCTGGGGCTCAAGACTTGAGCACTTCCTGTCGATTCACCCAACTTGTTAACTTTACTACATGTTCCAAGTTGTTTCCATCAGAGCTGGTGCCAAGAAATAGTAATAGTCATTCATCTGTTACCACCGTTTTCCTGATACTTCTCACCAGGTTCGTCATCGGTTTCCTTGATCTTTCTGGAACTTGGACAGACCGCTGGTACATGCCTTGAACAACAGGCTCATCAGTGCCTGCCGTGACTTGGGGACGCAGGAAGGTTCGAAGGTCACTCTTTCAGCTGTGCGCGCGTGACTCTCACAAATGCTGGGAGAGTCCTGCTCTCTGGGATGCTGGTTATAACCGACATGAGCTGGATTTGCAAAGCACATCCCCTCGAGGCTGGCTGTTTCTTCCTAGTTGCTAGATCTCTGATTCCACAGTGAAGAGGATGATTTTGGGTGGTCAGACCAGCAGAGGAGGCCAGATGTTCCCGCCGTGGTAATGAGGTTTCATGCCAGGGGCCAACAGGTGCGGTGTGAGAACGCTTCTGCGTCTGTGCTCAGGAGGGAGACTGGAAATGGATTAACAATGTCGACTGTGGGTGAGGGTTTGAGAAGCGGCACCACACCTGCCTCTTATGTGCCGTTTCTTGGTTAGGCCCTTCTTCTGGATGGAAACTGTTCTCCCTCAAATACGCAGCTGTCATTTTATGTAACAGCAAGAGTCTATCACCCCCACACCCTCCTTAGAAATTCAAGGTGAGAGGGAGAGCTACTTTGTATTAAATATTGACGATCTCTAATTAACTCATCACCTTTTGGGCAATTTACAACCTGCCTTTGCTGACAGATATAGGTTTTTACAGATTGTACGAAAAAGAGGCTGATGGAACTATACAGATTAAAAAGCCAATGAAACATAGAGAATCTTGCCTTATTGTTTAGAACTATTTAGAAGGTAGAGAATCCAATGGGATCTTGTAATTAGAAAAAGAAATAACATAGCTGAGAGATTGGGGCAGGGGGCGAGGGTGGAAGTCCTCATGATATTTTTGGCAGGGACTGTCCCCCGACTGTGAGAAAGCTGATGAAGAAGACGATGGCTGGGAACTGTGGCATCTCAGGCCATGGTTTTGATTTAGACCGAGACCTGGTGGGAGTAAGACAAAGGTCTCTGTCTCCGGGTGGGAAGTGTGCTCAGACCTGGCTTGGTTTTTCCTGGTGTTGACCCCCACTGGAGAGGAGGCCCCCTTGCTGGGCACTCACAGCAGTCACTGTAGGTCTTAGGCACTTATGTGCACAAGTCTGATGAAGGTGCATCTCCCTGGCTAGACTGTAATCTCCACGAAGAAAGGGCTCCCGGTATCTGTCTTGTCCACCAGCCTAGCTTCTAGGTCCAGTGCCTGACAAATAGGTGGTCAGTGATAAATATTTCTGTTAAGTATATTTCAAAATATGTATCCAACAAGCAAATGGATTTTCCAAGCACAGTCTTTGAGTGCCACCAAGAATGAGCTGTTTTCATGGTTGGGTCAGAAGCCAAACGGAGGTGGTGGCTGAGGTCCCTGGAAGAAGGCTTCTGCTTTGTTGCAGATGAATGATGTATCGATTTTTATCTTCTTCCTGCTTCCTGTGTGTTTTATTTCCTTGCGAAGTGCTTTGCATAACACAGTTTCTCAACAGCTCAGAAAACCATATTCTGGATCATACACTCACTGCCCGTCTTCATCTTTCTCTCCCACCGCCTTCCTTTGTTGGGCACCTCCCAGCTGGCAATCTGGGTCTTAGCCTTGCCTACCTCTTGCTTCTTAAGTGATCCAGTTATCAGGACTGCTTGTTTCCAAATGTGTCAGAGACGATCCAGACTTTAAAACATTACAACAAAGAAACAGAAGAATTGATGGCTTTACCGGATTGCATCTCTGTGGCTTTTGACACTGTGTCCACGTCCTGCTTTTTAAAAACATCATCCCTCTCTGGCTTCCCCTCCTATGTCACCATTTCTTCTCTCTCTCCCTTCCCTCTCTGTTCCTTCAAAGCTTGAGCTTCCCTTCGTCTGCCTTCCTTCTCTTTCTCTTCCCGCTGCTTCTGATCTTCCTCCTTCTTTTGTTCTTTGTGCTTTCTATGAATGTCTCATTTGTTTCCAGCTGCAATGTACATCCTCCTGCCCCTCAGATCCAGCTCCCCTGAACCGAGCTGTGCTTACAGTCCCCATTCCTTAGTTTCAGTGCATTTTTGTGAATCCCTGTTTGTGTTGTGCCATCATCTCCTAAATGGTTTGTATACAGTGGATGCTTCAACCTCCATTTGCTGCCAGAGTTACCTTCTTGAACAATAGAGCCGAGAGTACAATTTTCCCCTTTCAATACCTCTCACAGGTTCCCTGGGCTGGTGGGTAAATCACTACCATCAGCTCCATCATCATGACTATATAAGTGCTGACTGTGTGCACTCTTCTAACCGCTTCGTGTTATTAGCTCACTTAATCCTCCCAGCTGCTCTCTGAGGTAGGTTCTGACGCATCCCCATTTTACAGATGAGAAAACCAAAGCACAAAGATGACGCATAATGTGTTTAGGATCACACAAAAGTCATCCTTTTCTGTTTGATTCTGCAGCCCTGTCCATGACTGTCCTCAGACTCCCTCTGTGTTCCAATCACAAGAACCTTCCTCCCGTTTCTCGACACTCCAGCCTCCTTCGCGTTTCCCTGCCTCTGTGCCTGCTGTTCCCACTGCCTGGAGTGTTGCTGACTCATCTATCACCTGGTTGACTCTTCCTCATCTGTTAAGACTCGGTTCCCAAACCATTCTCTCTGTGAAAATTCTAAATGCTCTGGACAAAATTGGTCCCTCTCGTCTCTGCAATGATAGTAAGCTTTGTGCACACCCGTCCTGTTACAGGACCTTCAGTATTATTGCACAGTGGGGCTCTGCTTATGTGTCTGCATTCTCTGCAAGACCACAAGCTCCATAAAACCAGAAAGAGTCACTCTTTCATCCCTGTTTCTTATTATTAATCAGGTTCCTGCTGTATAGAGGGTTACCAAAAAATGTGTGAAGAAACCAATCAACCAGAAGCTGCATGAGGTCAGGGACTGTGTCTTTCCTCTTTAGTGCTGGGTACCCAGACTCCAGCATAACACACAGAAAGTGCTCGACTGATATTTGAATGGAAGAAAATGAACTGTGCGGTTTTAATGAAATTCCATTCAGCAGAGCTTCCTGTTTTTCATTCCCTAATTTGTAGGTAGCACCCTCAGCCGCATCCAGTTGGCTTCTCTTAGTGTTTAATACTTTCTTTTTTTCATTTACAGTTAAGACATAAATGATCTTGGTTTCTTCTTCACCCCTTTTAAAATTGACTGAAAAAATTAAGTATCATAAGCAAAGATAAGTAAGAACACATCCCCATTGAATTTTAGGACATTGTCTCTGTTTATAATTGAATATCTTCATATTTTTAGATTGAGAGCTATTTAGTTATCACCCATATTCACTAAGAAAGAAAAATAGAGTGACTTGCTATTTTATGAGTATTGATATGTCAGGATTAGTGGGATTAAATATTTTCTAATTTAAAAATTACTTCCCATTGACGGAGCCCAAGAAGAAGGGTGGTAAGGAGAGGTGCCCAGGTAGCCGTGGCGTCCTGGCCCTGGCACCTTTACCTGCTGGCCGGGCTTGATGGGTGACAGCGTGATGCCCTGGGTGTTGATCACTGGCAGGATCTGGTTCCCGATGACCGTGGCGATGATCTGGCCCTGGGCATTTGTCAGGAGCTGGGGGGTGATGGGCTGCACTTGAAGGCCCTGAGTGCCGCTCGCTGCTTGGCTCGGTGGCCCCGGGTTCGGCATCAGAGGAATGGTCCCAATAATCTGCAAGAGACAGGCCCAAAGGTGAGGCTCAGGGCTCTGCTCAGGGTCCGCACAAGCAACTGAAGATGACTCATGCCCTAGTCTCTGTCGGAGGCTCCCTGAGATCCGATTCCGAATCCATGAACAGATCTGGAGATGCAGGTGTGGAGGAAAGTGGCCGAGGGTGAGCATCTGAAGGAGAGAGAAACACACATGGACCAAGTGCATGGAGGAAAGGGGACAACATTGTATTTAAAAATAAAATCAAGCCACATGTGATTCCTGCCAGGGCAGCACAGACACCTGCTCTGTCTCAGAACCAGGTGGAGGACAGACTCATGCACTCAAGGCCCTCGTCTGGCCGGGGAGCCGCACCCCTTCCCCACAGGGCTCCCCAGACACGGTGTGCTCCCTCACATCCTCTCCTCTGCTCTCTCCACCTCCTTCCCTTTCCCCAGCATCCTGCTCCTCTCTCTGGGTCAGGGGTCAGCTAGCATCCTGGTGCCCACAGTGGCTGAGAGCCTGGGTTCTGGAATCTGGGAAACCGAATTCCATTCCCAGCAGGGCCGCCCGCTAGCTCTACAACGTTGTCAGGGAGCCTGAGCTTTCTGAAGGCTTGAGAGAACTGGGGTCACTAATAATTGAAACTCAAAATAAAGGTATAATGACTACTGAGGACTGAGCATTTTTAAAAGTGTATTTTAAATGATGTGTTTTAAACTGGGCCCTAGAGGTTAGAGGACCAGAGCTTCTGTGGTAGGCGGGGCAAAGGCCTTTCTTTGCACCTGGTAGCCTCTGGCCCCGTGAAGGGATCCTGTGGACCACGGAGGAGGGGTCTGACTGGATCCAGTCACTGTGTTAGGGAGAAGGGGAGCATGTGCCAAGGGACTGGGTATCTGTAAGATCTGGAAACACAGACTGCATTCAAACGTTGTCAGGGACAGAGCTAATCTGGTAAAAAAAAAAAATACGAGCTACGTTTCCTGACGTCACGGACTCTCCTGGGGGACGTCGTGGAGGGTGTGTGGGCTGCTTCCCCTCCAGGTACCGCAGGATGGCCACGCTGCTCTGCTGTTGTCTTCCGGGGCCTCCTCCCAGACCTGAACCGTAGTGATGCAGCCTGGGGGCCACCGTGACGCATTAATGATACTGTCTCAGGAAGGGCTTCGGTGTAGATGGCTTCATTTCACTCCACATTCTCACAGCGGCTCAGCCCGGTGGGCACTCGTCCCGCCCGCGTTAGTCAGTGAAACGGTGGAGGCTCGGGGAGGCATCTGTAAGTGGCGGAGCTGGAGTCCAGGGCGGGGACCCCCAAATGCTCACTGCTGCATGTCGCCTGGCTCCCACCACTGGGAGCACGTGGGAGGGCAGCTGCTCTGGCAAAAGGCCCTGCATCCTGTCTGCAGTTTCCCTGCAGACGCTAAGCTGAGTGGGCTGAGTTCATGAATGATTCTGTTTTCTTTTCCCTTCAGTCCCCCAAACAGGGCTTTGAACGTGGTTTCTCAATAACTGTCTTCTGAGTGAATGGTCTCTAGACTCAGCTATCGCTGGGATTCCAGGTGCAACTGGCACCGCAGAGGACCTTCATGACCACGTGACTCAGTGACAAAGATCAGGACAGAGAAGCCACCCTGTGGGATGGCGGTGAAGGAGGGTCTGTGCGAATATCACGTATCAATGGCAGTTGTCAATGGCTACTGATAAAGGTCAAGCAATTACTGTAAGAGTGGTCAGCACTCTCAGGAGGTTTGCAGCTCCACAGCCTCACTGAGCGAGGCCGCCAGTGGCATCAGTGACGAGCGTGTCCCATCAGTGCCAGCAAGGTCAGGAGGAGTCCACATTAGTAGATCAGGGCACCTAAGTACTTTATTGGTATGTGATCTTGCGTTAAGCAGCTCAGGATTCAAAGGCTGTTCCTATGACCCCCCAAGCAGCGTGGAGATGTCAGGAGAGCAGACCCCTTGTCCTGCGCCGACGCTGGCTCCCTCCCCTTTCCTCACGTGCATCGTGAAATGGTGCAAACCCAGTGGCTGGCCCATCCACTCTGGGTTCCTGGTGTCTTAGCCCTGAGAACTCCGCTCCCCCTGACTGGCCCAAGTTGAAAGCCTATGGGAGCTGGATGCCTTTAGGTGGCAGGGTTGCGGGTTCTATTTTGGGCGGGATGTCAGTGTGTTTAGCCTGGGGAAGGCTTCAGAGGGAGGCAGAGCGCCTGACAGCTACAGAACACCCTGCGACGCAGAGAGAGGCATTCTGCTCCCAGAAGATTGACACACGTCTGTGCTCCCCTGGCGGTAATGAGAAGCTCTGCCTACGTTCTGGGTGGAAAGAAGAAGAAAGGCAAACGCAAACGTCTCATCAGCCTCCTCCCCCAGTGCAGCCTCGCTTCCCAGCACCGCAGGGCGACGTTACTAAAACATGGCACCACTTCCGTTCCCCGGCTCCCTTTTCTTTCCTGGACCCTAGCATCACTGTTGGAGGGTAGGAGAGCACTAGTGTCAGAGCCAGAGGGACCTGCAGTGGCGCAACGGAGGGGATCCTTTAACAGGAGGGTTAGCCCAAGAGGTGGGGGCGGGGCCTGGGCACTTATAAAGTCAGGAAGGCATCTGTGAAGTGGAGCGTTTCCCATTTGTGTTCCCCTCTCAGAGGAGTTGGGGATCACCATCTCAGCATGTCACACACTTGGCAGTGCGTCGTGGGGAATCTTCCACTGTTCCCCAATGTCTCATGACTCGGTCATTTCAGTTTGCTCCCCCGCATCCGGGGTGGAGCTGGTCACACACGTGCTGCTTAGAGCCTCTCCATGTGCCTGTGTAGCTCAGGCCGGCTCCGATCCCTCCTCAGCACTTACACGGATCTCACTGAAACTCCTCCTTGGCTAGCTCAGACTTCCAAAAGACCACAACCAGGAAATAAGAGGAACCAAGGCAGCAAGCTGTGAGGCTCCTTCACCTGGGAAACTCGCATTTTTAATTAAAGGCCTTTCAGTAGTCCAGGGAAGTGTTTTGCACCTACACACATTTCAACTAAATCAGGAAATCAAAACAGAGGTTTGAAAAGGCATCAGGGCAACTGACTTGAGAACAAAGAGAGAAAGAGGCAGCCTTGAGACACTTGTAGTCCTAGGACTAGCTTTTGGAGTGTGATTTTCTGGTTCCCGAACTAGGGATTTATTGCTAGGGGTCCTGATGGAAGGACGTGTCACTGAGCAAACAAGGCCACTAGCCTGGGACTGTGGATCCAAGCATTGGACACACAGGTCAACTTCAACTCTCCTGAGATGCTGAGGATGCTGGCGGAGCGGCCTAGCACCAGCAGACCCTCCTCTACGTCAGGCACAGTGTCATCTGCTATGGAACATGTTGAGGATACACAAGCTGGGCAGGGGAGGGGGCGATAGACAGGCACACTGCACGCAAAGATTCTAACAGTCCCACAGACCAATGATACGCCCCAAACGAGTGGCCAGGACCATCTGATAAAAATCTCTATACTCTCGTGGTTAGTGCCCAAAAGGATATCAGGAACGAATGTGTGATTTCAGAGGAAGAAAGATGAGGATTGATGGTTGGGAAGACTTCATAGGGGAAATGGGGCCAGAAGAGAACAGAGTCTTGGAAGTTGGGTGGGATTGGACAAGGCAGAGAAACCATTCCAAACAAGAGATGAGAAACGCGGGAGTGGTGAGTTCACTAACTTGCACGCAAAAGACGGCTCAGGCATTGAGCAGCGATCGGTTGGCCTGGAAGGGTCAAATTGCATCCAGGCAAGAGGTTTCCGTGAATGGTCTTTGATGGGGGCATGGGGAAGGGTACTGAAATGGAGCTATTTCAGATGGGAATGTGACCACGTGGAGAGAATAGACGGGGGTGTCAGGAGCCTACAGACCAGGAGACCGGTCGCTAGGATGCTATCATAGTCGTCCGTGTGTGAAGCAAAAGGCTGCCATGCATCCTTGACGTAGGGGTTGCTTGATTCGTGGCCCCTTCCACTTCAATTCAGAAAGCATGGCCTACTTTATGCCTAGGTTGCAACATTAGAAATTTTTGAGTGAAGTTATTGCCTCATCCATCCCCCCGGCAAATAGCTCAGGCATCGTTTGTGGTGACCCTCTCTGTCTTCGCCCTGACTCCGGTGGTCGTGATTCATCTCTGATGGATGCTTTAACCAGGACGAGGTGCATGCTGGTATTGTAATGATAATCTGTGACCTAAAGGAGTTCCAGCCTCTCTACCAGGGAACTTATTTGGTTGTTGCTGTTCATTTTCGTCTGTCTCTTTGCTTACAGGAATTCAGAGCATAAACCGCAACTGAGAATAAAGTCTATGTTGTATGAGCAACTTAAAAAAAAACCCAACAAACTAAAATGAATCTGGGTGGCTTACACAGAAGTGTGACAGTCATTATTCAGCAGCAACTATAATGTAAGCCACCATGAAGATTATCGTGTGACTGTAGCAGACCCCAGCAATTCAGGGCCGTGTGACACCTTTGGGTTACCGGGTTACTGTTACAATGCCCTTACAGACCTCAATCTAGTTGAGGTATTCTGTAGAGATGAATTATGGCTGATGGAGGATAATGGGCCCTGACTTTATTCACTGCCAACACGTAGGTCTCAGCAGGAGCAGTTGGTGGTATCACAGAAGCCTAGGGCATCCAGACAAGTCGTCTGATGGGCCACATGTCGTAATAGTCTATGACACGCTGTTAAACTCTGCTACGCAGAATGCGATTGCAGGTGTCAGTTTGACAAGTCATTCTGTTGCGCACGTCTTTAAGAAAAGGAAACCCGCCATTGCTGTCAGTTGCTGACTTTTCAGGTCTTTCAACCCATCAGCAGAGACAGTTCTTTGCCAAATAGTTGTGTAACCTCGGCGCTTTTTGGTCAAGAGGCTTTGGTTAACACCTGGCATCACTTTGTCCTTTCTTGAACATCGAGCTTCTAGCACTCGAGAGCCGACGGGGTTGTGGTGCGAGGTCACCAGAATGGAAACAGCCACTCTCCTTCCCCTTCCTTTCTGGTCGGTCACAGCCACTGTGCTCGCTTCCTCCAAGGGCTGATTTTGTCTTCTTGGTATTATACATTCATTTCAGTCTCATTGTGCTCCCAGGTTTAAGGTTAAGCTCACTTAGAATTATTTTGGCAGCTCTGATTAGGATGTTGAGCCAGGAAGACTAGGAGAATACAGTTATTTCCTAAACAAAATACATTTTTGCAACATGCAATCTGGTGCCTTCTTGCATACAGCTATGTCCAAGAAGGAGAACATGAGAAGTGTGAATATTTAGAGGGTCTCTGGCAAAGACTCTGAACTAGAAGTAGTGAAGGTATGAAGATAAGTCTTTATTTTGTAGGAGTTCAATTAGAGGAAGACACTGAACTAAGGACAAATAGATTTAAGCTTGTAGGCAATGCCAGTCAGTTGGCCATGGCTTCCTGGACATTGCAGTGTTCAGGAAGAAATAGTGCCGTGATCGATTAACAATGTCTGGCACGGGCATGGTCATAGGGAATGGCAGTGTGCCCGAAGGTGGCATAACTGAAGCCCAGGACATGAGACAAATGATCTCAGACCAACTTGCAAGAAATGGATGGCACCCATTTTCTCAATGAGCGACTGTGA